AGTATATACTAACGTCTCTCTCTCTCTCTCTCTCTCTCTCTCTCTCTCTCTCTGAGACATCAAATTCATCAGGAAACATATATATATCCATGCTAATATTACAATAAAAGAATGAAAATTACAAGATAAAATACAAACATGGTTCACATAGAACTTATGATCTATATGGATACATGCAAGATTGTTCATATTGTTATGAACTAAGCCAAGAATACAAACAGTTGGTGCTCAAAGACATGCTTGTTCTTATTGTTATGAAATTGAGTTAGCCAAAGATGATGCCTCATGTAAACTTAGGTTGCTTATCTTCTGATTACACAACATAGATATCACATACAAAAGTAAGCTAGCAATCAAATCATGAACTCGAGCAATATAACAAATCAGAGAGCGAGAAGATTACATCCACTTCTTGACAATGGTGGATGTGTGTTCATATATAGATTTATTCACCTAAATCATTTACATAATAAATATTCACCTAAATCAAATCCCTTCTTTTTTCCATCAAAGAATGTGGTCTTATGAAAGTTGACTTTGTTGATGTTAATGAAAGGTGATCATTGGACTTGTAAACAAGAAAAAGAAATCCTAAAATTTTAATTTGGTGATTTCTAAATTATAATTCATGTGGCCTCTCTGATATGAAGGAAAGCATAATGGATGTTAAGTAGGATATTGGAATATAAATTTGTATCTACTTTTCATCAATGGGAATGTTGCTTTTTTTACTATGAACAAAATTAAAATAGCTGACACATAAAACTTATATGTGCAGTAATTATACATTCAAGCTGAGCTCAGTGCATGTTTACATGTGAATCTAATATGAACTGTTTTTATAACAATAGAATAATTATGAGGCTATCGTAATTTTTTGATAACACTTAGAACATGAGAATTTCTAAAAATGTGAAAAGAAAGAAAGAATTAAAAAAAAGGAAAATTTCTATAAGGCCTTGATAATTCATAAGGAATATACTAAGCACATAACCCTATATATAAAGACCAGTTACTAGGATTCTATAACATAAAGAATAATTTAGTATTTTAGCAAATCTGTCTTTGTAAGCAATCATCTATGATCTTGTATTCTGAATCCTCATAAACTTCCTTATAGAGCTTCTAATTTCTCATATAGTTTGCAATCCTAAGCTTCCTATGTCTATACTTTTGATTGAACTACTAAGATGAACATGCTCTCTTGTTTTAGTAAGTTGCTTATTGTGTGGTCTTATATTCTTGTTCTCTGTGAGTGTTATTAGATACTGTTAGGTGTTAACTCAACATATGAAGAGTACAACAAACAATTTTGATTTCTTATCATATATATCAATCACTTCATCTACACATAAAGAGCAAGACAAAGTGTCTCTTAATCTTCTTTGATCAAATTCCACATTGATAAAGAAAAATCATGCCAGTTTTACCTAAGGCTGATTTTGGGTTGAGTCATGTGTTTGCTTGTTTGCATGCATGCATACATTAACATATCTACATACATATATATATATATATATATATATATATATATATATATATGTACATGTTGTGTCATCTAAATTTGGTTAATAATCACTCTAAAATTGTGGTAGAAAACATTTTGGAAGCTCAAAGGATCATTTAAATGTAAAGATTTGGTTTTTCATCAAGTGTTCCTGTCAAGTTGCATGGATTTTCTGTGTGCCATGAACTTGCTACTTTAGCAATCTTAGAAATCCAGCCAATAGAAGTCTTTTGATCACTGTGTTACATTTGTTTAGGTAGTCAAATTATCTTTTGAGATTCCTTTTAACTTTTGATTGAAAAGAATATATCACAAACAGGTTAAGGAAAATGGGTTGTTTCTCATGGTTAGGAATATCAATGACCAAGGAGGAGCCAATAAAGGATAATATACTCTACAATAATGATATATGTAAAAGAAAAAAGTTTGTCTTGCAACTATGATAAAGGTTTGTGATCAAGGTTAGTTCTAAGAGTAGAATTATTGATCTACTAATGATGTGATGGTAGATCAGAATTTATGATGGCAAGGATTGTGACATTTCATAGGGAAAAAAATTTGAATGATACTTTTATCAAAATAATGTAAAATGATTAAGAAAGATTGATCCAAATCAGTACCATCACCTGTCTATAATGATTAGATATCTACCAGTAGTTAGCACTCACCAATTTCTACAATTTGTGAGTATTACCACTAAGAATTAGGAGAAAAAACCTCAGATAGATATTCTGTATACATTACTAGGTTAGAAGTACCTAATTCACCATGAAATTTGTGTTGAGTATGTGATGCTCAGTCTTTTCATTCATGGCTAGATTTAAGAATAACTAAATTCATCAAAAGAGAAGAGATCTTATAACTACAGAAAGATCTTGTTCCTAGAGAATAGGTCATTGTAAATTGCATTTGCCTGTTACAAGATGATATTGGTGTTTTCATGACACACCTAGTTCAGTTTCATTTTGTGAAGAGACTTGAGGAAAATGTGGTCAGTACAATGGTCAACTAATATACACAAAGGCAAAATTATGTCCTAATAGTGGATAGGTAAATTTGACATGGAAATCATAAGGTCAGATGGTCTTAAACCTGTGGGTTTTCTAGATAGTTGGGCTTGTTTGAGATTTAAGTGCACATAAATGAAGAGTATTTTTTTGAGTCTGAAGCTGTTGATAAATCTTCATCAGTGGTTTATCAAAGAAAGCAGATTAATCTATTGAGAAAAAGAAGCAGAGTTCCTGAATGATGAAAGCAGCACTGAACACTGGCCATATCTTAGCTAGCTTGTGTGGTACAATCTGTGTTTTTGGTAGCACAGACAGTAACATAATAGGATACAGAAGAAAATGATGGGAAGAATTCTACTGGAAAAGATCAAAGTAATTTATGAACACAGGAAAGTCACAACTTAATTCTCAGCTGAGTGCAAGCTTTGTTTGCTTGTTACATAATATGGTGTACAGGAGAATGATGAGAATAACTGTACAGGAAAAAGATCAGGTGATGAATGAACACAAAGGAAATCGCAGCTTGATTCTCAGCTGAGTTCAATCTTTGTTAGCTTGTTACATAATTGGCACATTATAGAAGATGATGAAAAGAACTCTACTGGAAGGGATCAGGTGATGAATGAACACAAGGAAATCACAGCTTAATTCTCAGCTGCATTCAATCTTTATTTGCTTGCCACTGCAGGTGAGGACTAAAGCCTTCAACATAGCGAAGCACAGAATGGTGTGTCTCCAATTTGCAGTAGACGCGAGGGCTCGGATGCGTCCGCCGCTGCCGAAAGGCTTCACAGGCAACGCCTATGTCCTCTCCTCCGTTGCATGCACCAGTGCCGAGCTTGAGGAGGCTAGCCTGGCTACTGTGGTTGGAAAGATCAAGGCGGCAAAGCAGGCAGTGACTGACAGCTACGTGATGAAGTATCTGGCAGCCCTCAATGCCGCCCCCCAAGTGGCTCTCCCCCCACTGCCGGAGCTGACGATGGTGTCGGACTGGACAAAGACCCCGTACCACAGCATCGATTTCGGGCTTGGGAAAGCAGTCTTTGTGACTCCCTTGGCCACTCCATTTCCTCAGGTTGCGTACTTCATGCAGAGCCCGAGTGAAGCGGGAAGGATGGACGTGAGGATTGGGTTGCCTCACATGCATCTGCAAGCTTTCACCCGCTACTTCCTGTCTGCAATGTAATGACTAATAAGCTGGTCATCAGACATGCAATTGATGTATGTTGAATAAGTACCTAACGCTGGCAACAAGCAGATCTTTCTACTTCAAGCTGGTCATACATATCGTCTTCAAGATTTGACTGTGTTTCTTTCAATGGTCATGTTTGGATTTCCTGGAAAAAAGAAGGGAAGAGGTCATCACAAACTGAACATGTAATTAAACACATTTCTATAATTCATTGGCTTACTGCTGTCAATACCACGAAAAAGAGGGTTAAAACTTGGAAGAACAAATCCATATCGCCACCGTTTCAAATGGCCCCTTTTTCACAGTGGTGAATCATAGAATTAAGAGCTATATTACATGAGGAAAAGATAAGTAACAGAAAGTGAAGTTGGATTTCATAATCGTTAGATCTATCAGCAGTTATGACACACAATTTCCAGAGAACCAACTCTGTGCAACAAGAAACCATTGTGCAGGAACAAAGGAGGCAGATGGAAAGAGTCAAATATAAATGCATGCCTTAAACCAAGAAGTCCAACTCAACCTGGGTTTTCCTGTGTACATGATGCCTTCATCATGACAAAAGGAATCAGCACAGCCTGCTTGCTCATGTAGACATCCTTCTTCTTCTTCTCATGATGAAATCCAAGCATATATAAGATCTGCTGTGATCATGAGATCAATAAATGAGTAGACGTGAAAGATGGCATGTAAACTGTAAAGGTTAACTAAACTTCATGATTCCAGTTGATTCCTCCTCATCAAATGTCACCAATGCATCCTTCTTCTTCCTCTCATGATGAAATCCAAGCATATATAAGATCTGCTGTGATCATGAGATCAATAAATGAGTTGACGTGAAAGATGGCATGTAAACCGTAAAGGTTAACTAAACTTCATGATTCCAGTTGATTCCTCCTCATCAAATGTCACCAATGCATCAATTGCACTGGTTTTTATAAAGGAATGAAAGCTATGCATAAGACAGTGCAAAATTTATGATATACAGTTACAGAAAATGGACACATTTATACAAATACACGGAGAGAAAGCAGGGCTTATCTCAAACAGCAGTTGGTCAATGATACTGGAATTTGTTAAGTAAATACAGAATAATGACCACTTATCAACTATTTTATGGCACTACACAAATATTACCCCAGGCCAGGGAAAAATAATCAAATTTAAACATCTTTAACATAGCTGGTCTTATCATGATTTGCAACATACAGCTGAAAATATTAACTGTTCTGGCCAACATGACTTCTGAGTTTGTGTCATCTATTGAGTATGTATCATCGAACAAAATTTATTCACTATATAACGGGGAAAGAAACTTTATTTGTATTTTGTAAAATTACATTTGGATCTTTTTAAAAAAACTTCCAAATCATGATTGCTTTAAGTGTTACATGCAAAAGTAAAGGACTCCCACCTGCCTACAATGGATAATACACTAAACTGTTTATCAAGAATGCTATCGCGAGATAGAAGATTATTCCACCGACAGCTACGCTCTGACTGCCACTCCATGTGTATGCTGCGCTCACCTGGAGTTCTGGAAAATTAATCTTATGATCTACAAATATCCTAAAGACAGAATGTGCCATGAAACATATGCCTTTAAGGTAATGTTTTACTCATAGCATATTCCTGAGTTACTAAATTGCAGCAATCAGGAAAAGGTCAGTGAAATACCAATTCATTGCATATGGATTAGGTGGTGAAACTAGTCACGACTTTGTTGCTCCAAGGAGTACTCTCTCCACTCCCATATCATCAACTACCTAGATGGCGTTTTTCGTTTTTACTTCTACATGATTCTGAACTTACCTCTTTTCCTTGAACTAGAAAAATTATGTAAAACAGAAGTTGAATGTAATATAATAATATATAATACTCGAGATCATTTTACTCTTTCTGATCAGATATATAGACTGCTTAAAAACTAGTCACAGATGAAACCACACCGAAATCGTGGGACAACTGAAAAAAAACTACATATCATGTACCTTAATTGAGTTCCAAAGCAATCTTGGGGTAGATTGAAGCAGAAACAAGATATGTTATAAACAAATAAATTTACTTTTATCGTAATATACTTTATATGAGATCTCATTAGAAAGTGGAAGACAGCAACCCAATATAAAAATGAAAACAGCAAACAACAACAACAAGACTGTAAGTCCCAACATAAAAATGAAAACAGAACAAACAAAAAAGACAATGACAAAACATAATGTTCCAGTTACCTAATTTCCTCTGCAAACGATGCAAAATGCTACTTCCATTTTTGTTAAGTTGCTGTTCATAAAAGAGGTCCTTGTAATATTAAGCCAAATCAACTGTAAGAAAACTATTACCATCCATCTCATCCTGCAAAGAGCTACCTTCACACAGATGCAAATCAAGAAGCTAGAGTATAATCTAGCAATAAATGTGTGAATGATGATACCTGTATCTATATTCCATCTTGCCTAATGGCAATGTTCATGTCATTGTTCTATTTAAGAATATTAACAAAGACATGTTGTAAAAAGAAAAGGATGCAGAACTTCTACTCCACAAATCTTGTTGGACATGAAGTGTACCCTCAGAGTGTTTCATTTTTCTGGCATATATAAGGCACCAATACAAGAACATAGGTACTAGCACTATTTTTCCTTATTGCCAACCCTTGATCGTACAATACTAGTCATGACAACAGATGTAAAACTAAGCAGTTACAGAGATACAATATGGCCTCTACCATTACGATCCAAGTAAAATGAAAGCCCAATAGCAAGTGAACAAAAAAATCTGTAACAACATAGAGAAAAGAATATATATATATATATATATATGATGAACACAGTGACACTCCAAATCACTTAAACTCCAATTAAAAGATCAGAATTGCTGATACATATCCAAATATTCATATCTATGCAAATTTGACCGCCTTCTAGCATCCCATTTGTGACAAAAAGCCCTGTCACTCCAATGCCAACTTACAATCAACTTGAAAATTTTCAATCCTGACGTAATCGGAAGTATATTTAGGCCAACCAACCCATTGATCGGGTTGGGAGGGACAAGGTTGGGCCTGACCAAAGTCGCAACCCTGTTTTCCATTGAGGTGGTAATACGAACATACAAGTAAAACTGCATGCTCACTTGGCATGTTATCCAACAAAAAACATTCTGGAGAAGATAACCAAATGAATTCATCAAACATCAAAATGTAAATAGGAGACCTCCATCTCCATACAGGGGTCAAGAAGACACGTACCAATCTAGTCAATCTTTACTAGCGAGCTCCAAAATCTTCTAGACAAGGTCATGCACCCTCTTCAGTTTCTTACACCTTTGTTAACACCAGGTTCTTAAAAGCTTCATCAGTTGCCTTGTTTCTTGCAGAATCTTACTTATCCAGCACCTAAGACAAAACATAAAATTACCAATGGCTAGAGGTCTAAGATATGACAACACAATGAATGAGCCACATTTGAATACAAGGTTTGGGGAGGGTCACTATATACAACAGAGGCAATTTCATGACTCGCAAACACTGATCATCCAGGTCAAGAATGAGCAACCTTATGTGACACCACTACTCCCTCAAAAATGGTTTAATGTTCAAAACAGCCAATCAATTGAACATGAAAATACTTATTCAAAACTGAAACCCAATAAACCCAACCAAAAACAATTAAACATTTCTAGTCATAAAAGTGTGCATAGTACAAAACATACAGTATTTGACATGGAACCTCTATTTTGCAACTCCAACATGATATAGAAAATTTGCAGCTATTCACTGATGACAATAGGAATGGGATCTTAATTAGGGAACGATGCTAAATTTAAATGGCAGAAATGAGAATGTTTAGAATACCTGATCAGTGCTTAGTAACAAACAGATGCATTTTAAAAAGAGATGAGAATGTCATGGAACCTAAAGGCTAATGGACACATAGAAAGGTAGACCTTAATGGTTGCTTCAATCACCTCCTACTACCAAGGAGAAACCTCCATATTACTAATAGGGAAAGGATCTGAAACTAAGGGAGAATTATCACATATAATAATATCAGTTATCCTTTTCGCAACACAAAAAGAGGAGGCACAAGGCATCACAACCTAGCTATATGACTTGATAGACCTAGAACAATGTGACTGAAAATGCTTAAACCAAAATTAGCAGCAGCTTCATCTACCCGTATAATTTTCTTTTCAACAGATAAAGCTAGATTAGATATCTACCCGTATAATTCAACTTAACAGATTCTCCTATCACATTTGATGCGGACTAAACTTGAGAGTCAACTATTACTCTAGATTTTACCCATGAAAAAGTCAGATATAATAAGGGCTTGCCATCAAAAATTAAAAAAAAATTATAAGTCTAATGCAAAGATCTAAACTCAAAAGAAACAACAATAGTTTATCTCAAAACTCTATATTACACTAATTGAATATGCAAATTAAACATACCTTGAGACAGCTCGAGCCTCCAAGGAAGATAAACACCAAAGAAAAGATTTGTCTTGCATATCAGCTGAAGAGGACCATACACCATGTCAAAGGAAGGCTATCCACGAGCACCTTTAGGCAATCCAATTGCAGCAGTTCAAGCTATTCAAATTTGCACTTAACCAAACACAAGAAAAAGCATTGGCAGAAAATGCATTCTTATAGAAACCAAGAACCTACATGGAAAAACAAACTACAAGAATTGGTAGCCGAGATCAAACATATACAGGAACAAGAGAATATCAAAAGCATCAGATGCAAGGACACCACACAAGGTAACTTCTATAATAATTCACTTTTTATTTTTATTTTTTTATTTTTTGGCTCAATGAGCAGTCTGCCCATTCTCAACACCCAACCCGTACAACACGCCTGCATATTTCTCAGTAGAACCATTGAAGAAAGACTCCTTCAACTTCCTGAAAGCACACGAGGTGAGCAAGCTGTCTGAACCGGCCTGGTGGCAGATCCCAACCCTCTCGACATCGAGCAGCTCGGCGAGCTTGTTGAGCCCCCCATGGAGGCTGTTGCAGAATTTCATGAGGTGCTTGATGTCGTACACGGTCGGAAAGTAGATCTTGATGAGATTGAAGAAGCCGGCCTGCGTCTCCGGGAGGTTCTGACAAGTGAGCAGCTTGAGAAGATACCCGAAATCGTAGCCGCTGTGGAAGGTAACCCAGTGGACGGAGTCATTAAGCACGATGCCCGACGACATGAGGAGTTCGCCAAAGCGTTGGGCGTCGATCCCTTTCTCGTTGTTCTTCTTGAAATCAATGCCGCTCTGACGGAGGAGCTCGATGGAGTCGGAGGCGAACACGTCCCGCTGGATGTCAAACTCGCGGAAATTGAACTGCCAGACGCAGCCGCGGTCGGTGCCGCAGGTGGGGAGGCTGCCGTGCTCGTCGGAGAGGGTAAGTCCCAGTTGGATGAGCTTCAGCATGTCGACGTTGGCCTTGAGGGTGGCATAGTTGAAGTCGGAGCTGGTCCGGAAGTTGCCCAGAGGGCGGCACACGATGCCGGGGAACTCCGTGTCCATGGCGACAAAGGGGAAGTCGTCCACGATCTCGCGAATCAGGGCGAACTCTTGCTCGAGGTTGTTGCTCCACACCTCGCGGATCTGGACCGTCTCGTTCTTGGGCAGGATCGACGACATCGCACCAACATCAATCGAAACCAGGAACCTGAAAGATGATCGATATAGGACCGGGGACGAAAAAGGACGTATCTTTGGCGAGCAGAGTGGCGGGGATTTCAGGTTTTCAGGGATCACACTAAAAGGGGGAAGAAGGGATCGGGGAGATTCTTTTTTTGTTATTGAGATCGGAGGAGGAAATAGCAGAGGAGGTGGTGGCGTTCAAGGACGCGGCATGAGCCGCTCCGCGAGGGCTTCGACCATGGAAGAGGATGCGGGGGAGTAGATTGCGAGATGGGCGATGGGGAAGAAGAGGATGAGGGCGAAATAATGCAGCGCCACTCGTTGCCGGTGCACTGCTGGAACCGGTTAGGCCTAAGGAACGGACGCGGCGTGGCGAACTCTGGTTGGTTATCGAAGGGAATATATTTTGTGCTCGTGGACTTCTTCCACTGAACGTTCGACACGTTGTCCGAGTCGGGTCCACATTTTGGGCAAGGACGGGATCCGTGGGGACGTGGCGGGTCCCAACTTGGGCCCACGAGAAGGCACGCGTTTTTCTCCTTTATTATTATTATTATCATTATTGTTAGTAAATGTTATTATTATTATTACTGTTGTTGATATTAAAACCTCCAGTTTTGGACTTAATTGCAGAGTAACTATTAAAGGGTTTCCTTTTTCTTTTTGCTCCTCATAATTTCGGTATATTTAACATGATATATATCAGATAATAGTTAATATATATCATTTAATTAATTAAAAATATTTTTTTATTAATACTAAAATAAGTAATAAAATAAAAATGAATTGTTGACGACTTCATACAATACGAAGATAGAGATCGATTATAGTATACACAACCACGTAGAGAAAACGAAGCCTTATGATAACATAGAGAGATGAGAGCGAGTGGGAGGGAGACAAGATTGGAGTGAAGTAGTAGGCTCGGAATTCGAAGTCTGGGTCCTCTCCACGCTCTCCACCCTTCCTGATTCTACCTGCCTCTTCCTCTAAGCCTTCTACCTACATGTGACGTCGTTGTCGCCTTACTGTAATGGCCAATTGCATGTGACCCGATGTCTTCTTCTCCACCGCCCTCCACCCTTCGTCGTAGACTCCTGGAGGTCGTGGCCTGTGGCCACAAGAGGTCCTATGGCGTAGGCGACATGACTGAGCTGTGCCCCCGCCTCCCGAGTCCGCACGAGTCGGAGAGGCTCGTGGAGCTACCGTAAGCGGAGCCCTTCGACTCTAGCTCTAATGAGATGATAGAGGCGGAGACGCGATGGAAGAGTGAGGCTTTCAAAGAGCTCCAACGGTTGGTGGGCAAGCTGCAGCTCGGCGGCCACAACGCCGACGAGGATCAGGTGAAAGTGGCGATAGCAACGACGATGGAGGCGCGGATGCCCGCGAAGGATGGCTCTAAGGCGAGGGAGACTCTCATGATGCTCGGGGCAATAGCATAAGGATCGCTTCAACGCTAGTGGCAACAATTAAGGGTTAGAAAAAAGTTTTCTTTAAGTCCTACTTAGTTCATACGATTTATAGAAAACTTATTTTTCTTTTTGGTTGCAAATCAAACACCTTAAATGCGAGATAGATATGAACAAGACTAATTGATTTATGTGGGTCCTAACCTTTTGGGGTATGATTTGAACATCCTCTCTTCTTATATGTTTGTACATTTTGAGAAATTAAGATTTATAATCTCATGACTTTGATATTTTATAAGTATAAATCTTTGAACTTTGAAAAGAAAGGGAGTTGGTTCCTCTTTAGGCGTAATGGTAGCTTCTTTAACTTCTTCTCCGCCCAATCTTAAGCCATCACTTAAGGCATTGGCCTCAACTAATGAAGAAAAAAATCGTGAAAAACGTGACTCATTCTCGATGAGGAATCAAAGGTGGAGTGGATTCTTGAAAAAGAATCGAATGGGATGCCTCATGCTCTCAAGGTGCTAATATTTTTAAAGAGTTTCTAAAATTTAAAGTCCTCGTAAAGAAAAAAAAACAAAGAGACAAAGGTCAATATTTGACCTATGCAATGGCAAGTTTATGCCCTTCGCATAGCTAAAGATATTTGACCTATCGAATCTAATTTCAGACATGTCATTATAGTCAAGATAGAAGGATATAAAAAAGATAAAAAATATAAAGCAATGTCAAAACTGCAAGCAATATTACTGAGGGTCACTGTGCAATGCAATGGGATAGTAAAGAAGATCTACCACTCCTTGGGTTTTGCTGAATGTGGATTATCATAATGAGGTACTAATAAGTTGAGTCATGAGTCCTATGTCGACCCTTAAGTATCCTATTATTATAATATGGTTAATTTATTTATCTTTGATTTGTAATATCATTATTACATCATAACCACGTGTAGGGTATTGACTCCATTATTAATCAATAGTCTCTTATGATCAATAATCTTTAGAAAGATATGAAAATGTTGAAAAGAAAGAGAAGACTTCTAATGCTTATCATCAAAGTAGATGCTCGAGAAGTCGAGCTAGTGAGGTAGCTAGAGGAGGCCAAACAATGCCTCATAAATCAAACTAAATAGTTAAAAAATATATAAAGCAACAATCACACACATAGAAGATAACATGTTATGACTTATACAAGAGTTATACTTAATGAAGATCTATAACTCTAAGCTTATTGAGCAAATTGTCACAGCCAACGAGTGGATCATGAGTGTGACTGAACAACTGACCACTTGAATGAGTAAATTCATAATCTAAGCAATGAGATAGAGACTTTAAGGGAGGCGTTGGAGGCTAAGAGAACTATGATACTAAGGTATCAAGTAGAGATAGGGCTTGAGGAGGTTAGGTGTTGCCTCATATTAGAACAAATATTATGTCACCTTAGCTCATTTCAAAATGAGCCATCTCAGGGTGGAGATTGATGAAATTCTATCCACCAAGTATCTTTTAGGATCTTAATAGCGCTAAAAAAGGGATGGGGTTCAATTGGTATCATAGTAAATCTTAACTAACTTTAAAGCTTGATTAAAAAACTCATATAAAAAATATAATTAACCAAATATTAAGTACGAGTAAGAGTTATAAGTGAATAATAATAAGTAATCATAAATAAGAATTACAAGTAAGAGAAGGAATGCAAACTGATTTATAGTGGTTTGGTCTGACAGACCTATATCCATTATCATTTCCTCTTCCCTCGAGGCTATCGATTTTTACTATCGATATTTTTTCTAATGGACAAATATCAACTACCTTTGGTATAACTTTTTTCCTTTTTATAGGCTTATGAGAGAATCTCCACACTCACTTTCATAAGAGATCTCTCACCTCTATAACTTAGTAACACCACTAAACTCAAGAGAGAGGAAGAGACTCAAACAATATTTAAAAAAAGAGATACAACACTACATAAACTCAAGAATAGATATTTGATCAACTAAGCTTGAGTGAGATATTTATAAGCCTCTTCAAATTGAGATATAGGTAGCACTACTATTGGCATTGGATAGTACCACCATCATAATTTTTAATATCATAATTTTGAACTCCGATGGTACTACCATCGTAAAGTTTAAACTATAGATGGTATTACTACTGCCCTAGATAGTACTATTATTGTCATAGGTGGAACCATTACTAGGAAGGCCAACCAGCACAAACAGTGCTTATCGGTTTACTCATACGATATTATCACTTAGGCCTGATGGTACCACCACCTAGGCCTATTTTAGGCTTCCTGTTTAGCCTTCTAATAGGCTCAATTCGGACCAACTTCAAGCCTAATGACTTTCTTAATAAGTTGACATTGTTTTGACCTAATGCCAACT